CTAATTCAGATGGCTACTATACAAGAGCTATCAATGAGAAAAAACACATATCTTTACCCTTTGCCCGGAGTTTAATTTCTGCGTTGCCTTAACGTTCTTTTTATTACTTCCAATTTTAATAAAACTAAAAGTTGTTATGTACTTGCCAGTCGTAGACACTGACATTGGTAGTTGGTCATGTGAATTAGTATAGTGCGTTTGTATGTGAGGAATGAAGGCCGTGAAGACGAAACGTCTACCAAAGGAGGTACTTGTCCTGGTGGGTAAGGTGAATTCGACCCTCCGCTGAAAAAAAAAGGTCTGGAACGTGGGTGCCCTTATACATTTTTGAATCCACTCACAACAATAAAGTGTCTTCTCGTGATCCGTGACTTGTAATTCTCGCAGAGCCACTACTTTGTAACGAAAGTTTGATTCTTTCCTTCGGTAGATTGTGTGATGCCTAACCCTTCGTGACCAGATTTATCAGATTCCCTTGATCTATTCAGCAATTGCTGAGATGCACCCTTGTTTTGCTTCTGGACTCACTAAATGTAACTTCACTGTCTGTGCATATTTTAATGAGCTCAATAGGGAACGTCGGATAAGGAACTCAAGGAATCGTTCTCTATGTAACGGTGGCAGTAGATCGATTCTTTCTCAAAGAAGACGATAAGGGATAGTACCAAAACCTGTAACATTGGACTCTGCAAATAGTCTTTTATAACACGGGAGAAAGTATTATCTGTATTATCTTAGGAACAGTCGGATGGACGGACGGACAGACAGGTAGACTGGCGTTTGTTGTCAAGAGATTTTTCGGTATCAATGACCCACAAAACATGGATTCTGGCTACTCAGCGTGCTAGAAGAAGCACTTAAATACTGATGAATTCCAAGAAACGTTTTCGCGCTACTCTGAACATTCAGGATCGAGGGTGTCCCTTGACACTAACGTAACAAGCAATGATTCGTAGATTGAAATATCTGAATTGAAGGGTTTGGACCAGTAATAAGACAAGACATAACAGCCACATCAAACTTCCTGATATTCATTAATATCTCGATGTTGGTGAAAGTGTGGCTTACGTTGTTACAATATACGTCTGGTTCACTTTCATAAAGTCACACGATGAGACTCACTTTGACCACGAACGCGACATTGCCATTTTTTTGGGCAGCGTGGAGGCTTACAGTGTCTTGTGTCCAGAGTACTTCAATCGAAGACTTTTGCCTCTCCTCTGAGATATGCGTGTGTGAGTGTGTACCTCGTGCTCCAGCCAGCAGGCGTCGTGGGCGGGGGCGGGGCGGCGCTGGTCGTGGCGGGGATCGCTGGGCGCGCGCTGCGGGGAGCTCCTGCGGGGAGCGCTGCTCGGGAGCGCCGCGGAGCGGCTCTTGCCCGCCGCGGGCCCTGCGCCTTCGCCTGCGCATGCACCGCCACCCCCTCCGAAATGCGCCACATCCAATGATAGTTTAAAACTTGTAACGTCTTTAAAAAAGTATCATGA